TTTTAAAGGTGTTTGTCTTGCTAGACTGCACCTTCTCAATCCTTTGGCAAGAGAGAGCAGGCTTTTCTAGGAGCTGTTTTTGCCACACTCATTGGTGTTTCTGGGTTACTGATTTCTCCAGCAACAAATCTGGGATATATTCAGCTGAAAGAAAACCCAGAGAACTCATTGCTGTGTTGTTGCTGGGGACCCGAGGCACCTAGTCCTCTCCCTTTTCAGGGTCTGCAGAGGCTTCTTTTATATATTAATGTCCAGGGGTTTTAGCTGAACTCCACCGCGGGGGTAGGGAGTTCAAAGTGGAGCATCTACTCCACTTTGCCCAACAACCAGAAATCCAGATTTACCTGTTTTTGAACTTCATTTAAATAGAATCCGCCCTGTGTGCTCTTTTAAGTTTGGCTTCTCTTGCTCAGCAAGATGTCTTGAGGTTTTCTCATGTGGTTGTTTTTCATTGCTGTACAACAGTGGTCTTGAACTTTTCTTATCTCATGGCACACATAAACAAATTACGTATTATACTTTTTGCTAATATGACAAAAATAGGTACAACTTTGATTCATTCACATCAGATGGCTATTGTTGTGTTGGCTGTTGTCATTTTTCAATTTGACGTCATGAGGGAAAAGAGGTCAGTGCCCATCCTAACATTTGGGTGTTGCACGCTGTAAAACCCTTGTGGTGCACTGGGTGAGAGCCGCTGCTGTGCGGTATTCAACTGCGTGAGCAGATCGCACGGCAGAAGCTGCACAATGAAAAAGCTAACCGCCCTGCTACATGCGCTGACCATGCAGGCTGTTTGCCGGTCCTGGTACGGATGAGTGTTTGGGTCGCTTCCGGTCGGTGCTGTTAAGAACAAAGCTGCTCCAAATGTCCCTGGGCGTGTGTTTTAGCGGCCACATGCACGCATTCCTGCTGGGGATAAATATTGCAAAAGTCTCTGAAATGTTCTTCTTGCTTCAGCCTTTTCCCCTTTCTAGTCATTGCCACATAAAAGCTGTGGTGATCTTTTGACAACATAAATTGGATTCTCACCCTTGCTCAAAAATACCAGTGGCTCCCCTTATACTGATAATAAAATCTGAAGTCCTCGCTGTGGCCTGCAGGGGCCTAGGGGCTCTGGCCCCTGTGTGCCTCTTCTTCACTCCTACAAGACAAGCTGCCTCTCCCTGCCATCCCTTCGTCCACCCCCACCTGCCCATGCCTTCGTCCACCTGACCGCCCATTCAGTTTCGGGTACCTTCAGTGTACCTCGCTTACTCTCACCTCAGGACACTGGCCCTCGCTGTTCCTTCTGCCAGAAACACTCTTCCCCCCAAATCATCCCATATCTTTTCCTCTGTTACTGAGGTCTTTGTGCAGCTGTCATCTCTGAAGAGGGTTCTGAGACCACCCCACTCACCTCCTCATCTTTTTGCCCCACTTTAGTTTCGCGCCGATCACTGTGTGGATTCCCATTGCGCATTTGTTGTGTGTCTTCCTCTTTTGGCGTGAAGCGCTCGTGAGGTTACCTCATGGTTATCTGCTGTGACCCACTGCCTGGAGCAGTACTGTGCATAGTAGGTGTTCAGGAAATATTTGTTAAATGTATTAAAGGCACAGCTTGAAATTTAGTCAGACTCAGTTCTGACACCAGCGCCACTTGCCAGCTGTATATTGCAGGGCATGTCCCTTAAACTAGTACTCTGCACACCCCTAGGATCTGGTGACAATGCAGATGCACACTCAGGAGCTTTGGGTGGGACTTGAGATGCCACCTGTCTTCTCAGCTCCCGAGCGGGACCAGGTTTTGAGTAGCGGGGTCCCGACTACTCTGAGCCTGTTCCCACACCTGTGAAGTGGTTCATTGTGGAAACAAGGGCTGAAGTGCATGCTGTGCACCATGCTGGGACATAGGTGCTCAGTAAGTATCTACTGGCCCTCCCTTTGAGCACTTTTCAGGGTTTCAAACTTGAAGTCACTTCAGGTTTCCTCTCTCTGGCTTTGTCCTCAGGTATTTAGCCCCTGATAGACCCTCAGGGGAGCCTTGTCCATTTTATTTCTTCATTGCTGGCCAGCCCTGCCTGTCATGGGCAGGGGTCCAGGAAGGGTTCTGGCATTTTGGCAGTCATGGGGGCATTATGCAAATGAGATGCAAAGCAGCAGCTGATGAATCCTGATTGCATTTGCCCTGGGAGTCTGTGGGATAGCTGCCTGGCTGGGGTGTGGGGGCAGTAAATGCTTTTTGGGTGGGGTGAGAAGGCAGTGACAGAAGGTGTCAGCTCTTCCTGGGGGCATGAGGGCAGATGCTCTGTGGCCTGTGTGAGGCCACATTTGTAGTCTGACCCTACCTGTGGACTGGAGCATGGTGAAGGTCCAGGACGAGGGCCCAGGTTGGGAATGGGGTGTGTTTGGAGGGGAGGGGTCCCTGGACCTGTCTGAGGCCTGCAAGTGAGGGTGTAGAGGGCTGCAGACAGGTGACTTGGAGGCCCCTCCCAACAGCAGAGGGGGCCAGGTCAGGCTGGTGGAGGGGGTGGGGTGGGGGCAGCTATCTTTGGCAACCCTGGATGGAGCTAGCTCTTTAGGAGAAAAATGATCTGGGCTGGGGGCTGGCAGGGGGCTCTGCTTACAGTGCCTGGAACTCAATCTTTCCTTGCCTCCTAGCGGAGGTCTCCTCGCTTTCCAAGGAGCCTCTGCTCTCAGGCGCCAGGCATGCCCACCCTCCTGGCCTGGGCCTTAACCTAACCCTCTGTTGAGGACCTCCAGGCCCAGGGACCCCAGCTGCAGCCTCTAGCTAAAGGAAGTACAGGCTGGAAGTCACTTGTCATTCCGAGGTCCTCACTCGTGCCCATGGTCTGGCTGGCATTTCAAGCACGTACAACCTGTCCTGCCTGTGAGCAGGGGTAAGGAGCACACTCGACTCTGAAACTCCGAGAACTGGGATCTTTCTTAATGGAACCAATGAGGAACATTGACAAAAACTTGGCAGAGAGAGGGTTCAAATCCCAGCCCAGACATTTATTGGCTTTGTCCCCTTGGGCAAACCTCTCAGGATCTCAGAGTCCGTTTCCTTATCAGTCCTGTGATCTCCTCTGCAGGGCTGCCGTGACAACCACTGACGCTGCAGAACAGGAGTTTGGCATCCACCAGCTTTTCACCTCTGAGGCAGGGACTGTGGCCCGAGGTTGTGTCCAGCACTAAGAACAGTCCCTGGTGTGTTGTGGGCGTCTAGGAAATATCTGTTGGATGAAATGCAAGGCCCTGTTTCATCTCTCCACACGATTCCCCCCTCACATTGACTTCTCTGACACTAGGGTGTTTCATACAGTTTATAGCAGGTCTGGTTTATTGGCATCCGTCTGGTGATTGAGAGGGACCTTAAATGGGATGAAACATGGAAGAGGCGGTCATCAGCCAGCGACAGCTCCCGGCTTCATTTTCCATGGGATTCTGGTTCTTTCTGATTGTATCTGCCCTCTCTGGGCTTTTCAGGGTCCCTGAGAGTTACCCTGGGGCACAGGGGCTGCTGTGACCCCTGCCTGAGGTCCTGTGAAGGGTGTGGGCTGGCAACAGTACATCCGTGAGGCAGGGTGTGCTTCCCGGGGCTCAGCCCCCATGTGGCCTCCCCACTGTAGGGTACCAGGGCTGCTTGAGTCATGGACTTCCCTCTGAGGAGGTTGGGCCCATTTTACTCTATTCTGTCAGAGCTCCCAGTCCCAGAACTGGACAGCAACCAGGAAGATGGGTGGGGATACCGTGAGCTCCCTAGGCCAAAGGGCTTGAGGTAGGATCTAGTCTGGACCCGGCAGAGGATTTTCAGAATGAGGGAGGAGAGTGGGCCCCGCCTGCACGCCCACCCCAGCCCCCTTCAGCACAGAGCTGAGAGGAGACCGGCAGATCGGAGTCTGATCCCTGGCGGGGCTCAGAGCAGAGCCAGATCCTCTCCAGGAAAATGGCTCGTTCCTCAGGCCCCTGGTTGGGACACTTTACTGTGTCACTGTCACTGGTCCCTTCTAATGAGGTGAGGGTTGGGGGCTTGAGTGTGCAGCTGTGATTTGGTGTAGGGAGGCTCTGTGTGTTGCATGTTCTGGATCCATGTGGATGTGTGTGCATTGATGTTAGTGTTACAGGTAAGTGCATGTATATATGTGTTACTGTGCACATGCAGTTCGACACCCATACACAGGCTTGTGCAATATGCATGGGCACAAATATGTGTAATGGGTGTTTGCATATGTGTTGTTGGGGTGCACATGTGCATGGATGCATGTTGGTGCGTGTAGACGTGTGTAGTGCGAGCCTAGATATTTTCTCTGGGCGTGTGTGGCAGCTGCAGCCTGTGGGGAAGCGCCCAAGTTGGAATCACAGGCCTCACTGCCAGCCGTGAGCCCGGGGAACTCAGGAGTCATGGGTGCTCAGACAAGTTGTCTCAGCTCCGTGGGCCTCAGTCTCCAACCTGTAAAATGGGCTTGGAACCTGACAGAATGAGATTGTGGATGAGCATCTCACACTCAGCCTGACCCAGAAAAGACTCAAAAGAGAATGCTGAGAGGTGACTGAAGGCAAATGAATGAGTAAGCAAATAGAAATGTTTACAGAACTGCTTTGCAGTCAGATTTTAAGGGCCTGAGGGAGGCGCAGTTTACAGTGTCTGATAGGATGTCTGGAGGGGGAGGCGGGGTCTTGAGAGGAAAAAGAAGAAAGAGGCGGGAGCAGGGTATCCCCTCTCCCCCCACCCAGTCCAGGGCAGTCACGTGAGCCTGCGTGTCCACCAGCATCTGTGAAGGTGAAGTGTGCACGCCCCGGTGTTGATGCAGGCGCCTTATAGAGGGCGGGCGTCCCCTGGTGTACGTGGGAGGGAGGCTGTCTGTGCGAGCATTGCCTGGTTGCCATAGAAATAAGCTGAAAGAGGTGGGTGGCTGGAGAAGGAGGCGGGTCCATCGGGAGGAGGGAGGGAGCAGAGGCAGCCGCCGGGGGCGGGGAGCTGGCTTCTGCAGTTCTGGCGCTGCCTTCCTGAGCAAGCTCCGTGGAGGGGACCCAAGAGGACAGAGCCCCCAGCCAAGGCGCCAGGCCCCTCCCTGCCCGCCACCACGGAGAAGGAGGAGGACAGCCAGCCCCTCAGCCCTCGCCTGGCCCAGCGGGGGCAGTGCACTCCTACCTGCCCCTGGCTTGGTACCAACACGGGCCCAGGTAGGCATCCGTGGGGACTGCTGGAAGAGGCTGCATGGAGAGTGGAGCCCCGGGGCTCCCCCACCTTCCTACCAGCAGCCCCTGGTAGCAAGCAGAGGGGCCAGCGAGGCCAGGGCCAGCGGATTGATGGGGAGCAGCCAGCATCCCGGAGGTGCTCCTCAGAACCCCCGTTGCCTTTTCTTGTTCTGCACTTCTGCCCTTCACCACCGCCACAGGTCCTGACTAGAGTCATGCCCCTCTCCCTGGGGGAAGTGGGCTGAGGGGGGCTGGAGCTTAGAGAAACTCACCTCCCCAGGCTGAGGCTGGGGGGGTTGGGCGGGCAGGGAGAAGTGAGGTTGTCCCCCACCCCCACTGAGGCACTGCTAGACCTTGGCCATTTGGAACCAGCTGGTCCTCCTCCCCATCCCACACCCACCAGCCCACCAGCAGCCTCCCTGCTGGCCCCAGTGGTCTCAGGCATGGGGCTTAGAGGCCCCTGGTCAGGGAGGGGGCTTATTTCTCCTTTCCACTCAAACTCAGGTCCTTCCCCTCCTTGTTCTCCCTGCAGAACTAGATCCCTAGATCTCCCAGAGGAGACCTGTCCCGCCCCCAGCAGGCCCAGGGTCTCCATGTTGGGGACAGGAGAGCAGGTCTTGGCTGGGGATGCCTGTGGCCCTCCCTCCCCCAGCTTCTGTCCCTCTGCTGCATTGCTCTTGGGGACAGTGTCTGCTGCTGCCCAGGGAGCTGGGGCACTGCAGAGGAGCCTCCGCTGCTTCTCACAAAGGGGTGGGGCTGGGGCCTGGGCTCTGGGCACAGAGGGGCAGGAGGGGCCTGCAGTGGTGCAGTGGGCAGGTGCACCTGGTCCAGCTTTGCCCTGGGACAGAGCTGAAGTCCCTTGGCCTGTGCGAGGAGGTGATCCTAGTCTGGGGGGGTGCGGGTTGGTGTGTGCAACCTTGGGCATGCTTGGGGTGCTGGGAGGCCAAGGCTCTGGCTGCTTTTCCTGCCTGTCTCCTCTGCCCAGCACCCACTGGGAACTTGGCTGGGTCCTTTGCTGAGCCCTGGTACCACATTGTGGAGCTTCTTCTTTCCTGGGCTCTTGGGGGTCAGAGGATGCGGTGCAGGGGCTGAGGGGGGTTCCTGGGCCTTTGTTAGGGTGGAGGAATACACACCAAGAAGCTGAAGTGGTCCTGTTCATTTCTGCAAGCGTTCATTGCACCTGCTGAGTATTGGGCACCGGGTCTCCCTCTTTACGGTTAGGAACCTGGGGAGTGAGAGGGCAGGTCTCAGGTGGCAGGACCAGGGTGGGTGTTGCTTAGGAGCCGGCAGCCACATAACCCAGGTACACCGTCATTGTCTGCCCCCTGCTTCTCTGAACCCTGTTACCCTCCTCCCCACCAGGGCCTGTGTGGGCCAGCCTCTGCCCTGCCTTACCCATGCAGCGGGGCTGGCCTCCGTCCCAGCCAGGACAGGGGGCTGGTGAGGCCTGGGGGACTGGCTCTTTTGGCAAGAGCTGGAAGGAGCTGTCCTTTCCCCAGACCCTCCAGGCCTGGCCCTGACCTCCCTCATTTCTGACCTGCCTTCTCTAGGCCACATCCCCCCTCTTTAATTTTTTTCTTTCCCACAGGTCCCGAGGGTCTGTCTTTGCTTGTTCTGTGTCTCTTCTACACTCTGGTGCCCCCAGACTCCAGGGTAGTGAACCCACCAGATTAGCTTCCTGGGGTATATTTCCTAGCCCCGCACATCATACCCAGCGGGCCCACCGCCTACAGCACCTGCCTGCAACCCAGGTTGGGGGCCTGGCCTCCTCCCAGCAGCCTTCCTCGAGTCAGAGGGAGATGAAGGGAGGCCCAGGGGCACTCGGAGCTCTGGCACTCAGCCAGGATCTGGGGCCCTGGGCTGGGAACAACCCCAGGCTGGCCGCTCCTTACGTGGCCCCCAATGCAGGAGCTCTGGAGAGAGTAAGGGGACATGTCTACTTAGCTCTTCATGGGCAGCTCAGGGCTCTGAAACTGAGCTTCCATCTCCCCCAGAGTGTTTCTCTCACTGTCCTCCCAGCCTGCTAGCTGCCCAGGCCCACACCCACAGCATCCCTGACCTCTCCTCCCACACCCAAACCATCAGCAAATCCTATTGGCTCTGATGTCACAGTGTTGCCACAGGCCAACCACCTCTTGCTGCTCACAGCATTACCACCTTGGTCAAGCACCCAACTTCCCTCACCCGGAGGACTGTAGTCACCCGCTAGCAGGTTCCCTGACCTCCTGGCCTGCTGCAGTCTGCTCTTCCTCCTAACGGCAGGGATCCTTTAAAACCTAAGCCTCATTATACCCCACCTCTTCTCGCCCCTGCAGTGGCTCCCGTCTCACTGGGGGTGTGGGGAGGGTCAAGGCTGTTACTCTGGCCTAGGAGATCTTATGTGATTGGCATCCTCACCCAGTCTCTCAACCTCACCTTTCACTTACTCATCCCTCTCTCCTCACTTACTCTGCACCAGACATAGGGCCCCTTATTCCTCAACCATGGCAGCCATGTTTCCGCCTCAGGGCCTTTGCACTGGCTGTTCCCTCTGCCTACATGCTCTTCCCCCAGATAGCTGCATGGCTCCCTCCCTCACCTCCGCCTGGTCTTTACTGAAATGCCCTTTCCTGTGTTAAATAGTCTCCCTCCCAACCCCCACTGTTCCTCCTTGTCCCATTCCCTGCCTTATTCTTCACAGCCCTTATCACCTTCTAACACACTTGATCATTTACTCATTCCTTTGGTTCCTTGTCTGTCTAGCCTCTGTGGAATGTCAGCTTCACGAGGTCAGGGACTTTTCTGTCTTGCTCGCTGCTGTGGCGCAGAGCTGCACTGTATCCTTACAGCTGCAGTTTGACACCACAAGTATGCCCCTTGGCTGGTCTCCACATCCATGCTGTCTGGGTGGCCTGTGGCTCAGCCCTCACAGGGGTGAGATCCTCGGCTCCTCTGGCTGGCAGTTGCTCCAGGGCATTGAGTCGGGCAGGATGTCCTGCTTGGCCTGGGTCCAGCTTCTTGCCTTTTTCTGCTCTAGCTTGGCCAGGACAGCTCCACCTGGCCAGGAGGGGGAGCATGGTGAGCTGCGTAAGTCCCACTCCCAGTGCTCTGAGGGCAGAGGGCGCCTTCCTGGGGGAATCTGGGCTGTCCAGGAAGCGGCTGCACACTGAGCTGGCTGCGCCTGAGCGTGCGGTGACTGGTCTTGAGGAGACAGACGCACCTGGAGCGGAGAGGATGGGCCTGCCTCCCCACAGGTCCCACTTCCCCTCCCTATCTGTGGTGTCTCACTTGGGCACCCCCAGAAGCCAAGCCAGGACAGGGACCTGACTAGGACAGATCAGAGAGAAAGGCACCCTGGAAATAGACGCTGGCAGCTGACCAAGAGAATGGCAGGGAAGGGAAAGGCAGGAGAAACAGGGGGCCTGGAAACAGGACAAGTGGGATTTGAGACCCCTCCAGTCTTGTGGGGTTCTGGCTCTTGGTTGTATCACCGTCATCACCAATGTTTATTAAATGCCTACTGTGTGCAGGTGGCTGGGTTTGGCTCTGAGGTACAGAATTCAGTGCTTCTGCTATGTAATGAATGAATGTTCCTGAAGGCCCTTGGCATTTATTCATTCATTGAATGAAAGTGATGGTGCATTTACTACCCTGTGCCAGGTACTGCTCTGGATCCTAGAAATATAGCAGAGAACCAGACAGGCTAAACTACTGACCTTATAGAGTTGACATTCTAGTGGGAAAGGAAGACACTAAACATGTGAGTACTCTAACGTTGACAGCCTGTCAGATGTGACAGGTGCTGTGGAGAATAAGGAATGAGGAAACGGAGGAGGGGGTGGTGCTGGGGATGGAAGCAACAGAATTGCAAGTTTTTAAGTTTGGGGAGGTCAAGACATTTGAGTGCACCTGGGAGTCTGGGTGGGTGGGACTATTCCAAGTAGGTGCAAAGGCCCTGGGGTTAGAACAGCGAGGGAGTCAGCAGAGCTGGAGGAGAGTGAGAGTGGGAGATAAGGGCAGAAGGGGGAGAGGTGGGGTTGCAGGTTATGCAGGGCCTCCTAGCAAGCAATTCCCCTTTTACTCAGGGGGAATGTGGCATCTCTGGAGAAAAGGGGATCTGACAGTTTTGCCAGTTTTCCTCTGGCTGCCATGTGGGCGCTGGGGAGGGGGTGCTGAGAGACAAAGTCAGAGGCAGGAAGACCCATGGATAAGCAGCTGCAAGGAGGTGAAGCGGCTGCTCAGGACCTGCTGACGGGCTGGCTGTGTGGTGGGAGGAGAAAGAAGAGCTGCGGTTTCCCTGAGGCCCGTGGTTGTCCAGGACTAATGGTGCGGGAGCCCACAAAGCCCGTCCATGCCTGCCCTCTGCGGGCTCCTGCTCTAGTGCCGCGGTCCCTTCTTGGTACACGGAACATGACCAAGGCCCCTGCCCCCCAGGTCTTTCAGAGGCAGCTGGCCGTAGGCCTGGGCCCTGAGAGGGACACTTTGTACCCCATGACTTCTCCCTGGATGAAGGGTCCAGGCCAGCATGAAAACTTCGCATCTGCACAGTGTTCTGTGTTTTTCAACCAGAGCTTACTACCCTTTCATCACTTGATCTTCAAAATAGACTCCAGTATCGATTTCCATCGTACGAGTTAGAAAGCTGAGACCCCCGAAGGGACTTGCCCGATCTCTCACTGGCAGGTGGCAGAGCTAGAGCCAGAGCCCCCGCCCCTGTGCTGGGTGCCGAGGGCTCTGACGTCTGCGTGCCGAGGAAGGCCCAGCTCCTTCCCTTGTTCCACAAGATGAGACCACCACCCCACCACAGCGGAAGTGGTGGCAGACCGATAGGGAGAGCTGCTGAGCTGTTTCCCTGTCATGTCTCAGACCCCTGGGCTCTTGTCTGCAGCGGGGCGGGGGGGGCGGGGGTGAGAATCACACCTGCCTCCTGCCTCACAGGGGTGTTGTGAGGGTTAGATCGTTTAAGACACGGGAACCGTCCTCGGCACCAAATATGTGCCCCACGCATATCAGCTGTTATTGCTAATAATAAAGGGTTTTCAGAGCCACGCAAAGTCGGATTGGGCATTGTGTCCATTTGGTGGGTGGAAGAAAGTTACCGGTGTATAGGGCTCACCCAGGGTGAGTGGCAGATGCTGGCCACTCTGGCTTCCTGACTCGGAGATACAGCTGTTCAGTGACGGCAGCTACTGCTCACCGCTTGGCAGGATGTGCCGTTTGGTAAGAGGTAAGCTTCCCACCTGCCCCCAGGTGGGGTGTGAGGCAGGGGGAAGGCAGGATGGTGTGTCCAGCCAAACGGTGCTGTGGGCTCACACGCTCCCTCCTACGCCCCCTCCCCAACCCCTCCTGCCGGTCTTCATGGGCCACCTTGGTGCAGGCCCAGCTTGGGGCTGCAGTGCCCGACTGCCCCATCTCGTCTAATCCTTAAGTGGGGCTGGGTCATCCTTGTTTCCTGGCAAGGCCCAGCGAGGCCACGTGAATTGCTTAAGGTCACACAACAGTTTGGTGGCAGAGCAGAGACCCTAAGGCTACAGCTGTTTCTACTACACATGCTACCTCAGCTGGGAGCCCCAGAGAGCCATCACCTGCCTATGCTGAGGGAGGGACCACAGCAGGCCCTCGACCCCGGTCTCTGCCACTGTGCACTTCTCACCTGACGTGAAGGTCTCAGGTGCACTGTCCCCACCTCCATGCTTTGAGTGCACCCTTCGTCCTGGCTCCCAGCTCCCTCTGCTCTCCTGCAACACAGGCTGGAGGTTGTTGTTTTTTTTAATATATATATGCAATTTATGCACACAAGGCAAAATTTAAAAGGCATGAAAGAGCTCCAGAAAATTCTCCCACCCCATCCCCCAGCCACCCAGTTCCCCCAACACAGCCACTGCTACCAGCTTTCCAAAAATATTTCTGCTCATGTATTTCCACCCCACACACAGACAGAAGCATCCGCCGCCATGCTGTTCTGCACCTTGCTCCTTTGGCTTCAGTGCCATGGCTTGGGGGGCGGGCGCGTTGAGGACGAGAGCCTTCTGCTGTAGGCCTGCACCGCCACTCACTCACCCCGCCCCCAGGTGCATGTCTGGCTGTTTCCCACCTCCGGCTCCCAGGGGCAGTGCTGCAGTAAATCGGACTGGGCAGCAGCAGTGTGCCTGAGTGTCTGGAGGGTGAATTCCTAGGACCCGAGGGTGCTGCTGGGTGAGGGATGTGTGCGTCTGTGACCGAGAGAAAGGACACCACGTTGCCCCCACCAAGCTTGTGTGAAGTCACTTCCCCACTACCAGAGCTGGGTTTGGCCTTCACTCCAGCAGGGAGCTCACACTGTGGGATCCCCAAGTTCTGTGTGGCTCCCAGGGTCCTAGATGGCTGTAGCCCCAGGAACACTTACCTGACCTGGCTGAAAGTCCTTTGTTAAGTATCCCTGCCTTTCACTTCACCATATATAAGTTCAAATTTTCTTTCTTTTTAAAAAAGATTTTACTTGTTTTTAGAGAGAGGGGAAGGGAGGGAGAAAGAGGGAGAGAAACATCAGTGTGAGAGAAGCATCAGTTGGTTGCCTCTTGTGTGCGCCCCAACCAAGGGCCTGGCCTGTAACCGGAATCAAACTGGTGAACCTTCGCTTTGTGGGACAACGCCCGACTCACTGAGCCACACCAGTCAGGGCACACATTCAATATTTTCTTTATGAGGCAAGTACTGCTTTATAAGTGAAAAGTGCCAAATTAAGGAGAAAAATATTCAGACTCATTTCTTTGTCCCTTGATGAACTCCAGCTGCCCTCTCCCCTACCCCAGCCCTCCATTCTGTGTGAGTTCGTGGGAGAGTTGAGTCTTTGCTAAGGGGAAAGAAGCAAAGTATGTCTGGTGCCTGAGAGGTGCAGGAGGCAACACTGGGTTGTTACTGGGAAGAGAGCACTGGTCCTGGGCAGATAGGAAGACTGAGGTCAGAGGGGGCAGGGGCATCCCTGACCCCCAACCCTCAGGTGTTGGGGCTCCTGCCCTGAGCCGGATGGCCAGCTGCTGGTAAGGCCTTAGGGTCCCTTGGACCCCTGGGTTGGGCTGATTCTTGCAGAGGCCAAGCGTCCTCATTGTCAGTCTTCTCAGTCCCCAAGGTTAGGGTGCAGAGTCAGGGAGGTGACCCCAGCCGCAGGCTGTCAGCTTGTAGTGGGGTCAGGCCTGGGTTGGCCTCCCTGCCCCTTTGAAGACCAGGCTCCGGGCCCTCGGGGTCCAGTCTCCTGATGCCTAAACCATTCTTGCCCGGGGTGGCAACAAGGCCTGGGTGGGGGACTGGAACGGGGCAGCACATGGCCTAGATCAGACAGTCATGATGCCGCTGACAGTACCAAGCCACGTACAGCGGCCTGATGCTCACACAGGTCACAGTGGTCTGACATGTGGGCCAGAAGCTGCATGTCTGGAACTCTTAGGGACCTGGAAGCAGCTAATGGAGGCCTTTGGTTTGAGGCCGGGCACAGGGCAGCCAGAGGGCATTTGCAGGGACCAACAGCTCAGGGAACTGAGGAGGGGCTCAGCCTGGTTGGGAGGTAGGAGGGGGCCCGTGGCCAATTTCCCAGGGTGCTTGGGTCCAGGCTGTAGGTGGGTGCTTTGGGGAGGGCTGTGCATTGGCTGGGGCGGCAGCAGGGAGCTTCCGTGGGTGTTTTGGGCCCAGTGCAAGGACCTGTCTGGGTCAGGGTGGGCAGTGCTGAGGGGGATGGATTGAGAAGCAAGCTGGGGTTTTTTGAGTTTTAGTGGGTCCTACAGGGTGTTGGGCCCTGGGGGTGGGTGGTGCAGGACATGCACAAAGATAAGCCTGATTGCTGGCTTTGAAGACCTGTGTGTCTGTGAAGCAAACCGCAGATTTATGTAAAGCAAACATGCAATTGTGTGGCTCTAATTTAGCCCTCAGTCCAGGAGCACAGAACAGTGGTGGGCACCATGGTTCTGGCAGTTGGGACAGGCTTCTGAGAAGAGATGCTGACATTGGAGCTGGAGGATGGATCCGAGGGGCAGTGGGAAGAGAGATGAAGTGGAAAGGAGATGGAGTGAAGGGCTTGTGGAGCAGAGATGGGAGGTGGGCAGAAGGGGTGCCGCAGGGTGACTCTTGGGGTGAGCCAGTCCCTGGGCAGGGAGTCCCAGTCCCAATGCAAGGCTTATGCTTGTGGAGCCCTCGTCCCCCCACAGCACAGCAAGCCAGGGCCTAGGCCTGGAGTGGGGCGTGTCGGACCTGTCCCTCATCTCCAGGAATCTCTCTCCTGCCCTCCAGCACATGAGCAGCCCAGCCTGCTGACCACCGCTCCACACCTGTCCATCCCCCTACGACCACACCATGTCCGGCTCTTACGACGAGGCCTCGCTCGCTTCTGAGGAGACCACTGACAGCTTCTGGGAGGTGAGGCTTTGCTGCTCCCAGTTCCTGGGGAAAGACAGCCTGGCTGTAGGGAGGCCCAGGCCCCCACCCACCCCGTGACCTCAGGCCTTGCTCCCCAGCCCCTCGGGTCCCTCTAAAACCCTAGGTGTCCAACAGGCTGCTACTCTACCCTGAGCCCAGAGCCGCTCAGCCTCACAGCTGCCCCTGGAGACATCCCATGTATTCCATGATGTAGAACGGCCCCCCGGCCCTCTGCTCTCCGGGCCGTGGCACAGAGTCCTGGCACTTCGCACAGGCAGGCGAAGCGCTTTACAGTTCACATAGCCTCTCTCTGCTGCTCCCTGCCCCTGCCCTGTGAAGCGGACAGAGGGCGGAGCACTGGTAACAGGGAAATGGAGTGAGTTCCGGCAGCCTAGAGCACCGTGGAGGTGGAGACAGGGCAGTATTTCAGAGCCTCCCCAAATATTTGAAACCCAGAATTTTTTTTTGTATTGGTTTATGAAACCCAAAGTGAAAACTGCCAAACCTAAATTAATAAGTGTTTAATGAGATGTCTACAAAGCATAATATTATGTCAAGAAGTTGCAGCTCAACTCAACACTTGTGACTCTATATAAATATAATAGATTTAGCTTACAAGAACAAAATGAATAATTCATCTGGCCCAAGTCCAAATTATAAAAAACCTTCTGTATTTTGTGGCAGCGACAAAATTATGTTTAAAGTGGTATCACAGAGTGTTTAGACAGGGGTGTGGCGCAGGGTGCCAAATCCTCAGAAAGTCAGAAGGTACCGAGCCGCACTAGGAAGGCGGAGGCGGGCGCCCCCTGCAGGACGCGATGGCCAGGGCGGACCGAGGTGGGAGGTCGGGAACCCGTGGGAGTCGTGCTCGCTGCTTGGCCGCCAGGTGGGGAACTACAAGCGGACAGTGAAGCGCATCGATGACGGGCACCGCCTGTGCAACGACCTGATGAACTGCGTGCAGGAGCGCGCCAAGATCGAGAAAGCCTACGCGCAGCAGCTCACCGACTGGGCCAAGCGCTGGCGCCAGCTCATTGAGAAAGGTGAAACCCATGCCCATCCCGTGTGCGGACCCCAGGCCCTAAACCCACTCCCTGGGTCCTGGGAGCACCAGCCAGCTGGATGTACCTGCGGCCCCAGCCACAGGGCCTCTGCAGGCACTGTCCCTATACCTGCACTCCCTGCCCCCCCGCCCCACCATCAAGCCAGGCCTCCCTGTATTTCAACTCCACTTTGTATAATTTTAGTTTGAATTTAAAAAACAAAACAAAACAAAACACATTTTATTTTGAAATAATTTTAAGTCAGAGAAAAGTTTCAAGAGTAGTACAGAGAATTACATACCATTCGCCCAGATTCACCAATTAACATTTTACCACATTTGTTTTATTCCTATTTATATGCATGTTTTTGGAAACATTTAAGTTGGAGACATATACCTTTAGCCTAAATTCTTCATGTATCTCCTAAGAATAGAATATCTACTGATGTAACCATAGTTCAGCTATCAAATTCAGGACATTTAACATGGCCCGATGCAAATTCTATCACGGCAGTTGTGTGCTGGTCCAGGGTCCGATCCAGAACACTGCATTTAGTTGTCATGTCTCTAGATTCTTTTAATCTAGAGCAGTTTCAGGTTGACGTTTACATGTACTGGTTACTGTTTTTCTCTTCCAATAGACTCTGAACCCCATGAATGCACAGACTGGGCCCCCACTGCCCTGCACGTGCTTGGCACAGAGTCGATGCCTGTGTACAGAGAAACAAATGTCTAGTCCCAGGGGCTTCCTGGTATCTGTCACCAGTTGGTTCTTCAGTTTTGCATTCAGCCAACATTCTGGAGTGCCCACTGTGCCTGGCGCTGGGCTGGGCTTGTGAGAGCTCACAGGGTTGGGGCTGCCCTGCCCCACCACCATAGGCTCACAAGCTGATGAGGAAGATAGGGAGTAGACACAGAGACAGATGTAGAAGAGGAATTCAATGAGGGCTGCAGGCTGAGGTGTGTGGTGGAGCAGTCAGAGAAGGCATCCTGGAGAAGGTGGCTGTACGTGGGCCCTGGCGGGTGAAGAAAACTATAGGGAGAGCAGAGGAGAGCATTTCTGCTGCCCTGCGAAGTATGAGGAAAGCCTCAGAGAAAAGAGGGGTGTGGCGGGAGGGCCTCTGGGCAGGGGGTCATGAAGGCCTCGTGACCCCACGACCATGTCCTCAGGCCCACAGTATGGCAGCCTGGAACGGGCCTGGGGCGCCATGATGACGGAGGCAGACAAGGTGAGCGAACTGCATCAGGAGGTGAAGAACAACCTGCTGAACGAGGACCTGGAGAAAGTCAAGAACTGGCAGAAGGATGCCTATCACAAGCAGATCATGGGCGGCTTCAAGGAGACCAAGGAGGCTGAAGATGGTTTCCGCAAGGCCCAGAAACCCTGGGCCAAGAAGATGAAGGAGGTGCCCGGGGTGGCTGCCACAGACAGGGCAAGGGTGGGCGGGAGAGCTCAGAGGGCCAGTCTCATCAGAGGGTGGGTATCTGCAGGCGGGGTGGTGGTGCACTGCCCTCTGGGATTGTGCCCCTGAGGGGCGGGACTGCCTTCCAGGAAAACATATCCACAGTTGGGCAGGCACTGCAGTGCTCACCAGGAGCATGCCCTAGGGGTGGCAGGCAGTGCCGGGCAGGGAAGCATCCACAGGTGGGTGGACACTGCTCCCAAATACCTGGAGCCAGGGCCTGCATCCCTTCTGCCTCTTAAGACTGTGTGCTCACAGCTCCTGGCAGAGTGGGCAGGTGGGAGGACTTGACGAGTGACCACACTGGCTCCTGTTCACAAGTAGGAGGCCTGCCCCCTGTTCCCCTCCCCACAGCTAGAGGCGGCCAAGAAGGCCTACCATCTGGCCTGCAAAGAGGAGAAGCTGGCTGTGACACGAGAGATGAATAGCAAGACGGAGCAGTCGGTCACACCCGAACAGCAGAAGAAGCTGCAGGACAAAGTGGACAAGTGCAAGCAAGATGTGCAGAAGGTGCCGGCCAGGCTGGGTGCTCAGGGCCCCTGGGAGTGGGCGGCAGCTGGTGGCTGTCAGCCTGGGTCTCACCCTCCCTTCACCCTGGTGCCTACAGACGCAGGAGAAGTATGAGAAAGTGCTGGAAGAGGTGGGCAAGACCACTCCCCAGTACATGGAGGGCATGGAGCAGGTGTTTGAACAGTGCCAGCAATTTGAGGAAAAGCGACTGGTCTTCCTCAAGGAGGTGCTTCTGGACATCAAACGTCACCTCAACCTAGCTGAGAACAGCAGGTAGCTGGGCATGGCAGCATGGCGGGCACAGGCACAGGCAGCAGAGGGTAGAACTGGTGTGCAAGGCATCCCAGGCCCCGCATTATAGTGATAGGAGGGAGAGGGCTGAGCTGCAGGGCCCAAGAGCGAAGAGGCTCCAAACACAGCAACTGACTGGGTGCCAGCCAGTGCACACTAGGTACTCGAGAAATGTGCTTGGATGGGTGGGCGAGTAGCTAAGGTGTTGACAGCAAAGGGTGCCCGCTGGGCATGCCCACATGGAGACTGTTCCTTGGGAAGCTTGCCTGGTTCCTAGCTGGGGGCCATGCCAGCACCCAGTCCCTGAAAGGGCTCCTGCCCTCGCCAAGGATAAGAAGGAGCTGTGAGGCATCTTGCCCCCCACTTCCCTATCTCCGCTGTGCACAGCTATGTCCACGTGTACCGGGAGCTAGAGCAGGCCATCCGGGGGGCCGATGCCCAGGACGACCTCAGATGGTTCCGCAGCACCAGTGGTCCTGGCATGCCCATGAACTGGCCCCAATTTGAGGTAAGGATGTGTGGGGTGGGGGAAGCAAAGCACGAAAAGTCTGGAAGAGGCCTCAGGGAGCAGCCTCCAGCCTGACTGCTCCCCTGGTGCCTGCCAGGAGTGGAACCCAGACCTCCCTCACACAACCACCAAGAAGGAGAAGCAGCCCAAGAAGGCAGAGGGGGTAGCGCTGACCAATGCCACCGGGGTGGTGGAGTCCACGTCGCAGGCGGGGGACCGCGGCAGGTGAGTGCCTCCTGTGGAGCTTCCTGGAGGCCAGAGGGCTCTTGAGTTTTACCTCAAGGACAAGAAATGGTCTGAACCACAGCAACCTCATGATCCTTTCAAAGACAGTGCTAGCTAGTCCTTTGAGAGCTCCCACCTGTGCCAGGCTCTGTTCTAGGTATCTTCCATATATTAACTCATTGAAGGCTTAAGCATTCTGAGAAGTGTGAAAATTCCCATTTTACAGATGGAGAAACTGATACCCAGAGAGGTTAAGTGATTGCAGAGGGTCACACAGCTAGTTAGTAAGCCTCAGAGCCAGGATATGATGCCCAAGAGTCTGGCTCCAGAATTATCACTCTTAACCACTAGATTGTACTGGCCCTCTCAGGTGAAGGGTCAGGTGCTCTCAGGGTCCCTGTCAGTGTCCCCTCCTCTAAGGCTGAGTAATTATGCTAATTGTCTTGCCTCACATCTGTTTAAAGAGCTGTCTGTGAGAGTCACTGACTCAGGATCCCTCTTAGGAGGCCCACCCCTGCTCCAGCCTTGGTGAAATACGGGGCCAGGGCTCTGACTGGGGAGAGGGGCAGCCCTAGGGATGAGGTGAGAGGCCATTGACGCTGGGTCCTCTCTGCCCCTCAGCGTTAGCAGCTATGACAGGGGCCAGCCGTATGCCACTGAGTGGTCAGACGATGAGAGCGGGAACCCCTTTGGGGGCAATGAGGCCAACGGCGGCTCTAACCCCTTTGAGGACGACGCCAAGGGAGTACGTGTGCGAGCACTCTACGACTACGACGGCCAGGAGCAGGATGAGCTCAGCTTCAAGGCTGGTACGGTAGGGGGAGCTGGTGGGGCGGGGCCTGAGGACAGGGGATGCTGGGGTTGGCAGGGAGTGCGGTTGTGGGAGGGACCAGGTGCTGGGCGTGGCCAAAACAAGTTTGACCTGAGCCCAGGGCCAAGACTTGAATTGGAGGGCAAGTGCAGGGCCTGAGAGTGGGTAACTGGGAGCCAGGGGTGGAGTCAGGACCTGAGAATAGGATTGGGGGCGGTCCTAAGGGCCTGGAGTGCCGGAACAGGGAGGCCTGACCTGGGAAATGAAGCCGGAGGCAAGGTGAGACCCCCATTAGGTGGGTGACAGGGGGCAACACTTGGGTATGTGACTGGGGCTGATCCTTCGGGGCTGGCATTGGGGCAATAAAGGGGGCAGGTTTAGGGGTTAGCCTAGCATAACAGTATTGGAGGGCTTACGTAGCAGTATGGGAGTAGAGGGACAGACCTCTCTGGGCCTCTGTCATGGATCTCCTCTGTGTCCCCTTCCCAGGAGATGAGCTCACCAAGCTGGGCGAGGAGGACGAGCAGGGTTGGTGCCGCGGGCGGCTGGACAGCGGGCAGTTTGGCCTCTATCCCGCCAATTATGTGGAGGCCATCTAGCTGCCCTGCTCCCCTCCACACCACCCCTCACTCCTTGCCCTCCCTTCCCACTCTTGTCACCTTCCCTGGCCATAGAGTTCCAGACATATTTTCCGATCAAGCTTTTATTTTTTTAAAAGTCAAAACAGAACAAAATAACTACAAAGAGACGGAGCACTTGCAGGGCCCCCAGAGGCCAGACTGGCGGCACTTGTGGTGAGGGTCTTAGGACTTAGCCCAGCGAAGACATCACAACATCCGCTCTTTAGATCCCACCGAAAAGTCTCCTGAGCCCTGGGAGACATCTCCCGGACCCTCTTATTCTGCCTCAGTGCCCCCATCCCACCCCTTTCCTCTCCACCCCTGGCTGCCAGCACCTGCCCCGTGCCCCTCCCCCACCATGATTTCTGATCTCCTGCCTGGCCTTCTCCCGGTCCACCACCACTTACTCGCAGAGGCCTCCCCTCCAACCCCAGACAAGGGGCCTCCCAGTGTTAAGTCTTCCACTGTGCCCCGGGGAGCCCCCTTCTTCCCTGGCCTCACCCTCTGGAAGAGGAATCGTCACCCTCTTCTCCCGTAGAGGTTGCTAGGTGCCCCTTGACTCCCTCAGACGTGAACAGGGTCGAGCCGGAGTCGGAGTCGCTGACAGAGTCACTGTGCTGTAGGAGGGTGTGTGAAGGGGGAGCTGGCCCTCAGACCTCCCAATGCTGGGCTCGGCTGAGGGACCAGGACCCTGCTAGGGCCCTTCTTTCCAGCTGACTGCACTTCAGGCCTGGGCTCTTTCTCAGAGACATACCCTTCTGTACTTACAGAGTCACCCCACACACAAGTCCTCAGGCAGGGGGAGGGGCCCCAAAGCACAGGGCAAAGCCAGCAACAGTAGCACCCTCCTCCTATTCCCTGAGGGGGAGGGCATCTTGCTCACTCACTCAACCCTTCTTCCCTCCCCACTCACCCACCCTCCTTCCCTCCACATCCATCTGAAGCCAGAGGAGCACCAGCTTCAGCCTGCCCTCAGGAGATCAAGCTTTGGGGTCTCCCATTCATCTGGCCTGCCTGGGGAGACACCCTTGGGAGCTTCTAGCCTGGGAGCATCAGGGAAAGCCTGCAGCCAATAGGAGAGGCTTGGGAATGGCCAGAGGGAGGAGCCCTGGCCCTTAGGAGCAGGGCAGTCACCACATCTGTCTGCCTTCTCCCCTCCATCACCACAGCCCTGGCCCTGGAGCAGCATTCCCTCTGCTGGCAGCACCTCCCCCCGAACCCTCCCACCCCCGTCTCTGCAGGCCTGGGTCTCAGTTAAAGGACTTTGGGGTGGGAGGAGACAAGGGCCTGCCCAGAGCAGCAGTGTTTCCTGTGGCTGGTGAAAGAAAGTAGCACTTGATTACTCTAAGGACCAGCCTCTCCCATGGCAGTGGGGGCAGGGTGGCTGGGTCCCGAGAAGTGAGGGACTAACTGGAAAAGGAATCTCCCGGAACCTCTGCGCTGAGGTCCTGAGACTTCCCGAGGCACCAGGTGAGCCTGACGGTGGTGCCGCTTCTGGGCTTCAGGGCTGCAGACACCCTGCTCCCTCCCTAACACCTGGCCCTGGGCCTCTAGGTGAAGACAGTGTCTACCCCAGACCCTCCATCACCCATCAGCCTCTTGCTCCTTGCTTTTTCTTCCCACAGTCTCCTGTTAGGTCACAGGCCCCAGCCTCAAAGCCCTGACCCTGTTCATGTGGCACAGAGAATCCTGGCATACTCGGGCAGGGACCGGAGCTGGGACAGGCCTTGCTCAAGGCCAGGAAAGTTGGGGGGTGGGGACAATGGCACCTCTAGGGACAGGCAGACTCTTCTCCACAGCACACTCCTTATCACTGCTCTGTGGGCCTCCATTGCAGCCTGAGCTATCCCCTCAGGGCCTGGAGCAAGATTTTGGAAAACTTCAGCCCTTCCCATGCCAGAACAAAAGCCCCTTCTGCCTCTCCTCCAAGCAGGAGCTGGAGTTGAGGGCCCTTTTCCACCTACTGCTGGGAGTCAGACAGCTGCCCATCTGCACCGTGGAGCCCAGGCTCCCTCTGTCTGTGCCAGCAGGTTCCTAGCACTTGGGGAGAGGCAGTGACTGGCTGTCCCCCTCAGCGCTCTAGCTGCCCACTCTGCGGCAGGGACTTGAAACCCAATTCCTTCTGAGCAGTGGGTCCCTGGGCTCCTCGGGCCCTGGAGTGGAGGGTCTCACCTGGAAGACCCCCTGAGCTCCCGGGGCCCAGGCCCGCCTGTCAGCACTGACATCAGGGCGTTCAGCATCAAGCGCAGGGCCCGTGCCCTCACTGAGCCCACTGCCTCCTGTAGCCCCCTGCCCACACCCTCAATGCTGCACGGGCCGCTCTGTAGGGCTCAACGAGTGATGTGTTTCTTCCTAAGTTAACCACCGTTCTGTGCCCTGGCTCTGCCTGGAGCCAGGGCCGCCCTGCCGCCGCCCTCAGCCGCCCTCGGCTTCCTGACTCCATTCGTCCGACACTTGTGAAACTCCGAGAAGTGCTGTGGTCTCAGCAATGCACCTGTTTTGTACATGATTGTGTAATTTAAAGGTATATAAATACAAATATATATATATATAGGTTGTGACTGTATGACTGTGGATAAAACCCAGAACTGTCAACCCGGCTGGGCGTTGTCATCTTGAGTTGTGTGTCTTCTGAGGCCCCAGAGAATTACCTGTGGGCAGGATGTCGGGCGGGGAAGGAGTGCCCAGGACACCCGGGGGCTGTCCTGGATGGCCACCAGTGTGGGCTGGGGTACTAAGGGCTGGCCTTTCCCTTCCAGAGCCCGCCCGTCCCTACACAGAGGGTCACTCTGGGTGCTCTCTGAGGTTCTTGAGTAGCTGTCAAGGTCCTGGGTGCCTGGCAGTGAGCACTGACCAGAAAAGCTGGGGCATTTGGGGTCCCACACTCACAGTACAAGGGTGAATTTGACCCCTGAACAGGCTTCAGTTTTTAAAGCAAAATTTTAGAAGTGATTGCTAAGGCCAGTGGTTCCTGGTTGTCCGTATTCCCAGGCAGGGCAGGGAGAAAGGGTCAAGTGGAGGTTGACTCGACTCTCCGCCACATAGCCTGTCTCCTTCAAATCCATCTGCAGTGACAAGAGCCTGATTTTAGCCAAATGGAGGACTCTTCAAATGAGCCCAAAATGTTGCCTTGACGCATTTGCACACGCTGCTCCATGCCATGATGGGGGGCCCCGGATGTGGGTCCACGAGGAGGGTCCAGGAACACCTAGGCCAGGCGGGGTTCATCAGGCTGTGGGGGGGGGGACTCCCGAGTTTGCTGCCCTCACGCAGGTGTCCCTGGATGGGTGTGTGCCCCAGAGGGGACGTGTGCATCGGGGCAGATCCTCGGAGCAGGAAGCTGCCCCACCCCATTCCCCACAGCTCCCCTTCCTGGAGTTCCCCACTTCCAGGCATTCATCCCCCTCCCCCCAGCCCCCACCTGAGATCCGAGGCCTCTCCAGACCCAGACCCCGGCCCACCTGGGGATGTGGAAGCAGGTGGCTCCAGCGACCAAGTTGGGGGCAGGATGGGGGCAGGACGGCCAGCAGGGAAACAAACCAGTTCAGCAGAGCCAAGCTGGGTTCGGGCCAGGGTCCCCACCTGTTCCCTCCCAGGGGGTGGGCAGACTAGGTCAGGGCCCCCTCCTCCTCCGGGCCCAGTTCCAGCTGACAGGTGCCAAGGTGCTGTTTGCTCACTGCCAAGACTAAACTTTCTTCCGAAGACAATAAAATTGAGGAGGGCAGAAGGCAGCAGCACTGAGCAGCATTTAACCCTCAGTGGTCTGGGCAGCGCTGGCTGCTCCTCGTCTCATTTCCTGGAAGCCCGTCCTCAGAAGGTAAGAGTTACAGAGGCTGAGGGCGCTGACCAGTCAGGAAGCAGAGAGAACCCTGTCCTGGTGGGTTTAGTTCTTGGTTCTGCTGCTGATTAGCTGTGTGTGAGCAAGTCGACTGCCCTGAGACTCAGTTTCATCATCTGAAAAATGGGGGGATTGCCCCTAATTTTGGAGTGGAAGCACACAGTCAACCCTCAGGGCTCCTGAGCCCGGTGGTGAACAGATGCGAAGGAAGCATGAAGAAGCTGAGCGGGCTGGTCTGCCCGGGAGAGTGGGCAGTGGGTCCCATCTCCCCCAACACACACACACACACACACACACACACACACACACTCTGACCACACCCCCTCCCCATCACACCCTCACACCCCACTTACAGGGCTCACAGTTTCAAAGAGGGCACTACTGAGGGAGGTCCGTGACCTCCCCCTTTAGGAGAGAGGCACCTCGAACAAGCAGAACCAGTGTCCTGCAAGGGGCACTGAAGCACCCACCCTCAACCACACCCCTGCTGCCCCAGCACGGAGCCCCCATTGTTGGCCAGAGACAAGGGCTCTTGGCCCCCTTGCAGGAGGGCCAGACCCTGGCCCACTCCAGGCAGAACAAGAGGATGGCCAAGGACCCTGCCTGCTCTGCACTCGTAAGTATAGACTCTTGTCAGGCCCAGCCCCTCCCCCCTTTCAGCCCACGCCAGAGTTGGGGGAGACAAGGGCCATTCCAGCCCCTTTTTGGACTTGAGGACTCACTGCCACTTTCCCACAACTGCTACCGATCAATCGTTCCTTTCCTTTTAGGATCAGTTCAATGCCATCTCCCCCAGGAAGCCTCCCTTGATCACCCCTATGCCCCTGTGACCAGAACCCCTTTGAGCACTGATGCCTCTGTGCTGCGCCACTCACTCACTGCACAAACACTGGGGCCATATCAGTTTTCTAGTATCTTTATTACCCGTTCCCAGAGACACCCCTGGCTCCCCAGCTCAGGGATGCAGACATCTCCTGGCACCATGCCAGGTGCGGTGCAGAGTGGGTGGAGGAGAGCGCTGGACTGTGAGTGACCCTGGACAAGTCACTGCCATTCTGTTAGGTCCGCTCTAGAAATGCTGAGATCAGAGGCTGGTGTGGAGGGAGTGCCTTCCCTGGGGAGCTGTGAACACTGAACACAGCCCTGTCTCCCTTCATCCCGCAGTGGGCGGGGCGTGAACAGTCAGGCCTGAGGAGGAAGCATCCCCACCCAGGGTCCCTCGGGCCCCAGAGAGCTCACTACACTCCTGGGGGCACTGGGCCATCCCCTCCCTGACCTTGGACTCCAAATGCCAGCACACTGCCTCTCCCCTAGCTCAGGGTCTGGCCCGGACAGGGGCAGGCAGGAGGGAGGTCGGGGAAGGATGAGTTCAAGCCCTGGGCCTGACCCGAAGCCCTCAGATGGGGTGCACGAATTGGTAGACAAGGCGCTGGGAGATGTCCGGCTTCCGGATGATGCCCTTCTTGTAATACTGGCGGATGGAGCGGCTCAGCTTGTCGTAGTTCATGGCGGGGCGGTTCTTTCGGATGCCCCACAGCCGGGCCACCTGGGCGGAGTCCTCAATTTTGAAGATGCCTGGGGGAGCAGGAGGGCCCAGAGGCAACCAGCATGCAGGTAGGGAACAGCCAGAGGAAGAAAGACCGAGACTAAGTCAGTTTCTTTGAAAGCCAACCCAGCCAGTGTCCTGGGGGCAGGGCCAGGCCATGGGGGCCATAATGCCTACTCCCAAGGTCAGTGTGAGGGCCAAAGAAATGCATGCAAAGAGCGTGCCACAGGGCCCAGAGAGTGGTAAATAATAGTACAGAGGCTTGAACCTCCTGGGTGCAGGCTGAGCCTGAGTACCTCAGTGGGTTATTCGGGGCCCTGAGGGCCTAGCCCTTGCCACAGCTCCCGCTGTGGGGTGTGCGCACCTCACACAGAAGCCAAGCTGGCTCCAACAGTGCCCTCAGCTCACCTGGCACGGTTGTCCTCACCCCGCCCCACCGCCCTGCAGTTCCCAAGCCTGAAAGACTTCTTTGCCATTCTCAGGCGCTTCTGTGCACACAGCCCTTGCCGGCAGACTTAATTCAGGGGAGGTGGTGGAAAGAGTGGGTTTGGGGCTGGGCCAACCTCCGTTTGTATCTTGGCCCTGCTGTTTTCTACCTTTAGAAGCTGTCTGAGGCCCCTTTTTCCTGTAGATAAGTGGGGGTGAGTGGTTACAGGAAGTGCTTCGAGCAGAGTCTGAAGGAAGTGACCCTTGGGAAGAACCGCTGCATTGTTAACACCCCCAGTATTAACCCCTCCTGGCAAGGCCCGGGTCAGCACAGCCTCTTCAGGCAGCGTTCCCAGGCCACCTCGCTCTCCCGTCCTCCCATCCCTAGAGCTCCACCGGGGGCCCTCACCCCAGAGCACCAGAGGACCGGAGGGGCCGCTACTTCACTCTCAGTCTTACATGTACACAGAGAGTCATCACGCCTTGTGCAGGAACTTTTCTTCCACCCCTTCTAGCCCCTCTCATCCTCCATGCTCAGCCTCAGAATCACCTCCTCCATGAAGTACTCCTTGACCTGGGCACAGCTGCCCCCATGGTGCTTTCGAAGCCCTGACATGCTCTGCATACTGGCCCATTTTACTGCTAGTTCCCATACAAGACTGAGGGTCCCTTGAGGACTGGGTACAGCCGAATCCTCCCCGAGGCTCCAGGGCACTATAATTCTTTGTAAACGTCCCCCGAGCACGAGTGGCATAAAAGGAGGTGCTTGGTGAGGCCGGTCAGGTGAATGGATCTGAAGGCTGAGGTCCAGGCACCCCCAGCTACTACTGATGAGATGGGGCTCAGAACCTGGATTTCTTGGCTCTGAGCCTTTGCGAACACACACACACAAACACCCACACGCACACGCACACACACACCATGTAGCCCTGCACTGTCCAGTGAGGCAGCCACTGGCCGCAGGGAGCTCTCAAGCACTTGAAATGTGGCAAGTCCAAAATGAGGTATGTCGTAAGGGTAAAATGCACATCAGTAAAATATCTCACTAGAAATACTTAGTAAGTATTACTTAGTAAAATATCTCACTAGAAATTTTATATTTGTTATACGTTGAAATTATAAGAAGTTATGATAGTTAAATAAAATTATTAATAAAATTGATTTCACCTGTTGTAAATGTTTTTCCTGTGGTGCTTGAAAACCTAATGCCATGCATGTGGCTCGCACTACACTTCTCACTGGGTGACATCAGTCTCCCTGTGAAGCTATGTTTTTTTTTCTTTTTTAAAGACTTTATTTACTTTTTATTTTATTTATTTACTTTTTAGAGAGAGGAGATGGGAGGGAGACAGAGAGAGAGAGAGAGAAACATCATTATGTGCAAGAGAAACACCCCCCACCAGGGGACCTGGCCGGCAGCCCAGGCACCTGCCCTGACCAGGAATCGAACTGGCGACCTTTCTGTTCACAGGCCGGCACTCAGCCCACTGAGCCACACCAGCCAGGGTGAAGCTATGATGTTTTGAGGTCAAAGACTGTGTCCCATTCTCAGCAGAATGTCAAGCGCCTACTATGTCCCCGGCACTGTGTGGCCCTGGGGATCCTGAACAAGACAGAGCCTGGCCAGCAGACGGACGGACGGACAGACATGGGCACAAACAGCACACACCCTGAGTGGGTCCAGTGACAGCAGCATGTCTGTCATTCAGGGCAAAGGTGAGGGCCAGCTCCACCCCTCTGCCCAGCCCCAACCCCTCCCTGGGCCTAGTGCCCGTAGGAACCCAGGCAGCCTCCACTGCCCTCGGCGCCACCTCATTACTGGTCCTGCCCCAAGCCCCACAGTGAGCCCGCCAGGCGCTCAGCTCACCCTTTTCCTTGTTGAGCCACCGGATGAAGCGGCCGTAGCTGTGGGGCTTGAGCAGCAGCTCCTTGAGGAACTGCCACAGGTGGATGGGCTGCCCAGAGCAGGATGAGTCCACTTCGCTGTCCGTCCAGCTCTCCTCGCTGGTGGAGGCTGGGCAGCCAGGGAGGGTGGTGGTGAGTGGGGAACTGCAGCCACCCCTGCTTCCCTGGCAACCACCCCTCAACCTCAGCGCTCAGCGCTCAGAGCCCGGCCCCTCAGTGCCCTGCCCTGCTCACCGCAGAAGTGAATTGTCCCAGGGGAAGTCCTCTCTTTCATCCAGGCCGCTGCAGGACAAAGAAAGGAGGTTGGGGACCCAGAAGAGACCCCAAGGGGATGGAGGACATTTTGGTGGGACTGTGGGGCCATAGAGGCTCCCTATGGCCTGGGTTTCCCAATGGGTCCCTCCCTCTGCCAGTCTATAGCTGCTTCCTTGAAGGAAATTTGGGATTTCAGAACTGGTAGGGGCCTTAACATGCCCGGACTTCGCCCCCTGTTGCTCAGGGGGAGGAGCTGACGTGGAGCCTTGCTCGCCTACGAAACAGGGAAACAGGCCGGGACACTTCCTCACGGAACCTACAAGGGTCCTAGGAAGTCTGCACAGCTCCTTGTTCTGTGTCCCGCATAATAAACACCCACTGCCCTCCAGCTGCCAAGTTCGCCCAGCACTTCCAACCCTCCTGCTCTCCGCCCAGCCCCCTCCCTGTCTCCCCTGTCCAGACCCAGCAGTGGTGGGGGTGGCGGTGGGGTGAGGGTGAAGGCAACCGGTTTCCAGCCCCGTCGCCCCCCCGGAACTCAGCCTGGTACTGACCACTGGCCTGGAGCCACTGACAAGGAGCCTGGGGGACAGGGCACTGGTCTCTGACTGGGTCATAAGAGTAGGTCCTGCCCCTTGCTCTCCGGGACCCCTAAGGTCAGGGGCCTTGACTCACTGAGCAAGCACTTCCTCCAAAGCACACTGCTCAGTGCAGGGCGCCAGTGGGTGGAGGTGGGGTCCACATGCAGCCTTTCAAAAGAACGGGGTGGCTGACTGCACCTCGGCGGGGAACGGGATCCAGGGTCGCCGCCAAGTACAGAACACGGTACACTCTGACAGTCCCCATGTTTTTCAAAACAGGGTCAAAAAACCACACATATGTAGTTGCTTGTATATGCACAAACCTTCCCAAGAAACAGGTAACAGTGGTTGCCCCCAGGGAGGGGGATTGGAAAGCTGGGGGTCTGGAGTGAGAGGAAGAATTACTTTTTATGATATATTATTTTCACTAAGTTAAAAAAAAATGTACACATCTATTACCCCATTACTTCGCCAATGAAAAACAGCTGAAAAAAACAAACAAACAAATGACATTTTAGAGGGACAAAGAAGGACTTTGTAGCATCTACGGTCCCATCAGCTGTGACCTCCCATGTCCTCACAGTCTAACTTCTACCTCCGGACTTCCCACGTGCTCTATCCTGCGTCCTCTGGGCTTGGCCAGGGCTAGCGGTCACCCAGGCTCCTGGGAGGCAGCTGCACTAGGGTCTGGGTCCATAGCAGAGGACGGCGGAGAGTAACTTCCCAGCAGACACCTTGGCCTGAGCTCCCCTCCGTGTCCCTGCTCCCACCCATGCCGTGTCCCACCTGATTTCCAGATGTCCAGGTGGGCGTGCAGCACGTCCCCGCCCAGAGGTGAGCGCTGGCGAAACTGCTCCTCTGACATGGCGCACAGCTCCTTGCCCCCCAGCTCCTGGAAGGCCTTGCCCACGGGGGGCAGCCGGTACTGGTGCTCCGTCCACAGGAGCCACTTCTGCACGTTGCCAGGACTCCAGTCCATGGGGTCTGGGTGAGAGACACTCCCTCAGCCCCGGGGCTGCGTGGGGCCTTGTCCAGAATGTGGCCGCTGCGCTCCCACGGCATGCTGTGGGGCTGGGGACTGGTGGCCCAAGACCCTGAACTCCCCAGTGGGGCCGGGCCCTGTGGAGGGGTTCCCCAAGAAGAGACTGGGGTGAGAGGGAGGAGCAGGGCCCTGTAAACAAACTTGGCTCAGGGCAGGAGAGCCTGGGTCCTCCGTCCCCCGCACCTCATCCAGACCTTGGGTTGACACTTCCAGCGCCTCCAAAGGACACGCTGGGGAGCTATAGCCCTGGAGGGAACAGTGACATTAGACCAGAAACTCATGAACTTCTCCTCCAGCTGCCTCTTGCCTTCCCAAAGCCCCTCAAAAAAACACAGAAAAATCCAACCAAGAATTAACCCTATAACCCAAACCTCTATTCCCCCTACTGTATTTTACAGATGGGGAAACTGAAGCAATGAGAGTTCCATCTCTTGTCCAGCTCCTAACTAGGAGCTGGTGAATAGTAGCTGCTCACTGCACATGCGCTGAATGAACAGATAAATGAATGGCAGGTCTCAGGGTGGTCAGGGGCGACCGAGGGCCTCGGGTGGGGGAGGGGAGTCACTGGCTACGTCCTAGATGTCCCCCTGGGGCGCTGCTCTGGGGTGAGCCTGGCACAGCTCATGGGTGGAGACAAGGATGGGGACACAGTCACAATGGGGTTCCAAATGAACACTGGTCTAAGCTGGTTCCCCAGCAGTGTGACCTGAAGATTAGGCTGCCCCACTTAATAAACCCATTTTCCTCTCTAGGGTCAAATCTATTTGTTTCTGTCCCCATTGTCCAGAGGACAGGCCCCTCCCTCCCCAACCCGGTGTGGGAGTAAAGGTACCGTGGGAGACCTCCCTGGGATCAGGGGGGCTGGCCTGGGCATCGGGCAACTGGAGAGCTGGGGCACTGGCAGGAGCTACCTTAAGGCAGCACCAGCGGGGGTCGGGGGCGTGGCCAAGGTGTCTGCTAGGAGGGGCTGGGCCTGAGGGAGGCCCGAAGACCTGTGTGAAAGCAGCAGAGTGAGATGCTCACTTGTCAGGGCTCAGGGACCGAGGAGACGGGTCAGGCCTGCCCAGAGCTGCAGAGACGGTGGAGCGGCGGGGCCGGAGACCCAGGGGCCCTCAGCCCACAGCATCAGCTCCATAACCACAGGCCCTGGCACACACCCTCATGCCCAGCCTCCTGACGTCCCTTCACTTTACGTATGATCTGTTTCCCTTACGCTAATGTCGCCTTCATAAATAAGGAAGCTTCTGCATTGTGTTCACCACCCAGCTTCCCAGTGCCAGAACAGGGCCTGGCACATGAAGTTACTGTTTATTGAGTACAAGGTGCCATCCCAGGAGCTAGGAATGTAACCATGAACAAAACGAATGAAAATGGTGTCCTCTGCATGTGTATATTCCAGCGGGGAAGACAGAAAATGAACAAGATAAATAAATAAAATATGCAGCAAGGAGGGAGGTACAGCTGGGGGGAGGGCAGAGGAGTCTGAGAGGAGGTGGTGGCCCCAAGGTGTCAAGCTCAAATTCACTTCATCCAGCAGGGACTCGGAGGGTGCAGGTGGGGCGGACGGAGGGTCAGAGCTTCCCAGCCTCGGCTCCCAGCTATGTGCCCATGTGTGGAGAAGCACCAGTGTTCCTGGGGCTGCCTGAGGCTGGGCAGGGCTGGCCAGAGCGCAGCAGGCCGTGTCCCCACTCCCCCAGCGGCCTCAGCCCGGCCTGTCCCCGCCTTGGGAGGTGCATGTGCGGAGGGACTCACCTGCGGTGATGTTGAGCAACTTGCAGGCCGTCTCAATGTCCTTGAGCACCTCACCCACCACCATGGACTGCACCTGCTCCAGCGAGTGCTCCTCCAGGGCCAGCCCGCCTGGAACCAAGTCCAGGCTGCCCCCTGGGGCTTGGCTGTCAATGACCGGGCACTGCTCGGGCTCCTCAGGCGGCTTGTCCTGTGTGCTGACTCCGGGGCCCTTGGCGGCCCAGTGGCTGTCCTCGGGGTACAGCATGTCCAAGTAGGAGAGGTAGAAGGCAGACAGACCCTGTTCGGGTGTGGTGGGTGGGCTAGGGCTCCAGTCCTGTCTCTCGGGCCTGACCACGGCAGCCGCCACCTTCTCTGGGCCTGTCCGAAACACAGCGCTGGGCGATAGCAGGAGGCGGCTGGGGGGCAGGCTGCTCAGGCTGGGGCTGGCGCTGCCCATGCTGCTGCTGCTCAGGCCGGCGGCCGCGTCTACAGAAACAAGAGAGGAAGGAGTCAGGTCTGGCTGCTTCCCCATCCCCATGGGGGCCACTAAGCTGGTTACAGGGATGAGGGGCCCAATGGGCAGTGGCCAGGCCTGGGAGAGAGCTGGGGATTCGGGTCACTGGGCAGCTGGGACAGGGCTGGGGAAGACGTGGGGTGGGAGGTGGGGTCGGATTGTAAAGGGACATCTCATCCCCAGAGAAGCCGGGCTGGCTGGCAGCAGCAAATCTCTGCATGTGTCGTGTGCTTAACACAGCTTCCCAAAGTTCTCATCCTCCATCGGTCCTCACAGTGGAAGACACGATCAGTCCCATTCTGCAGATGAGCAAACTGGGGCCTAGAAAAGGAGCCTTTCGTGTCTGGTCCTCTGTTCCTTAGCAAGCCCATACTCAGACCCCAGTCCACTGTCCTGCGGAGGAAGTTCCTTCTGAGAGTTATCCTAAATCTTTCCTCCTGTAGCAAAGTTTTCATTTATTCTGCCCCTGAAGGAAGTGGGGAAGGGATAGAGTCACCATGACCTTGATCAACCAGGTGAAAGAAAGAGAAGCAAGTGAGGGGCGTGGTGGGGGTAAAGCACCTTACCAGTCGGGCAGGGGCCCCCACCCGCTCCCACAGGGCCATTTGGGGGCGCACGTGAATGAATTCCCAGCATGAGGCCGATGAAGTGGTCAGTAAGCAACAAAGCACAGGTGGGTTGGCTTGGCTCCCTCCCACTCAGGGCTGCTACCCATCCTACCTCGACTTCCCCTGAGAGGTGCTCCCCTGGGGCCCTCTCCACTCCCAGGCCCTGGAGGTGGTGCTCACGTGCTGACCCACAGGCCCCTTCTCCCAGGGCAGCAGGGATTGGTGAGAAGGCCCAGGAGCCAGAACAACTGAGGCCCTCAGTGACCCCAACACCCACTCCTCTCTGAGGCCCCAGGGCCCCCAGGGATGACAGCTAGAGGCTTCCCTCCCCATTGGTCATCCAGGCTGTGCTGCGCCTGGGGCCTTTTCTCTGCACCCGCCCCTACTGGAGTATGTTCTTTGGGTGAGCAGGGCACCAGAGAGAGGGGCACACACCAAGCAGCGGGATTTCTGGGATATTTCCATGCTGTGCGGGCCCGAGACTCAAGAGGAGTCAGAGCAGAGGAGGAAGATCACCAACAAATACATGTCCCCAGTAACACAGGGAGCCATTTGGAAGGGAGGCGAGGAGCACGGAAACACGTCCAGGGCAAGCTAGTGCGTCCTTCCTCAGGGGTATCTGTGCTGAAAGCAGAGGTTCTCGGGGTGTGGTGCTGGACCGGCGGCATCGGCTCGGCTAGAAACTGGTTAGGAATGTGACTTCTCAGGCCCGCCTCAGAGCCCTGAACCAAGTGGGGTAGGGGGAGAGGCTGGGGGGAGGCCCAGCAGTGCCGGTGGTCCGCAGGCACTGGGGGTGGTCCTGACCTGTGCTCGCGGTGGAGACTCAGACTGAGGGCGCTAAAGGCCGTAGTCACAGGACCGTGGATCCCTAGTGGTGGAGTTCATCGTGCCCCCTGGGACAGTGAGCAGCTGCCGGGGCCAGCTCCAGGCTCCCCGAGGCGCTGCCCTGCCCTGCCTGTGTGACAGCAGAGGAACCCAACTTGGAAAATGCCTCTGGCTTCTCCTGGGCTGCAGCTAGCCTGTCCCACAACTTTGTTCAGCTCAGGAAAGGATGCCCCTTTTCTCTGGAGAGCAGAGCCTGCTGCACCGCGCGCACGCGGGGACAGAGCCCCCTCCAGCCTGTCTTGCGCGCTGCCCTGCCCGCCTTCCCAGCCGCTTGGGGCAGCCTTGCAGTTCCCCACGGGCGGAGTGAGCGCCGGCAGGAGAGAAGGGTGTTCCCTTTGACTTCGACTCTCTCTTTCAAGGGCTCCTCTAGGTGACAAGGAAGGAAAGGTCAGGGTGGGGTGGGACGGGGTGGGCAGGGACAAGGGGGTGGGGGGGCGGGGGACAGAGGGCAGGCCTGGAACCATTTCAAGCCCTTCTGTGCAAACACTGATGTGTGCCGTGGGCCCACGTTATTTACCCAGGCAGCGCCAACTGCCCGCTCTGCCCCCAGGTCCCCACCCCGCCTACATCCGCACCCTGCCCCTCAGTGACCCCACCCCTGGAGAGCCCCTCTCTGCTCCCACCCTTCCCACATCACCCCCTGACTGCCACCCACCCCATCCACACCCCCAGAACTCTCACGTCTGCCACGTTAGGACAGTTACTGCCAACACCCTGGGCCTCATGCCAGGGAGACGGAAGCTGTCCCAAGAAGCAGGAGCACTTGCCTCCCTCGGGGCCCTCATGTTTGCTCGGCCCGGCCACAGGTGGGATGGAAGGGAGCTGCTGTGTTTCGGGGCCCAGCGGCCTGAGGGGTCAGTGAGGATGAATGGGCAGGGCAGGCGGCGGTGTTTGCTAGGCGGAGACGTGATGACACGTCCCTGACACGTTGGTCAAGTGAGCTGCGTGGCTCTCTCAGCCTTCCCCTCCCAGGGAGAGGCAGCATGGGCCTTCTTCTTGGCCCCATTTCTCAGATGGGGAAGGTGAGGTGCAGGGAAGGCCTTGGATCCAGGTCTTTCGGCTCCTGGCCCAGGGTTCCTTCACCAGCAGAGAGTTCCCGCCTTCTCCTGCATACCCTTCACTCCAGCTCCCCATCACCTCGCTCTTAAATGCCCAGGAACCTGCTTTCAATCAAGGCTTTGTCCCAGCTCCAACACCTTCCTGGAGAAACTAGTAAGAAACTTTGAAAGCGAGAGACACACAAGGCACAGGTGTGTCTCTTCGTGACTAACTGTGCAGCCTGAAGAAGACCTGGTCATTCGCAGGTGAGGGGTGGTGGGGACTGTCTGACCCCAGCACCCAGGTCTGGGGGCACCTTGGTTTACTGGTCAGGGGGCCAGGAGCTGGCGTGCCCAGCCCACAGTTCTGTCTTGTCCTCCAGGCTCTGGGGCCAGACTCACTGGGAAGAGAGAACCGCAGTGAGCGCCTCCGACACCCCCAGCGCTCCAGCACGTTCCCTCTTTTGCTGCTCGTAGCCTGGGTGATGCAGACGCGAGAGCCCCATTTTATGGACGTGGGCAGTGAGGCTCCGAGGGGTCTGCAGCTTGCCCGAGGCCCCCAGCTGGCCGTGTGTGGGTTCTGCTAATTGCACCACCTTCCCTCTGAGGCCTCTGCTCCAGCCAGTTCCATCTTCCCAGGCTCCTGCCCACCTCCTCACCCAGCCACTTGATCCTCCAAAGCCCCTGCCCACCTCCTGAGTCCTCATTCCACCCCCTGTCGAGCTCATGTCTCTCCGTCACCCTCTCATCAGGCACCCTTGTGCTCAAAACCCCTCATGGCTTCCCACTGCCTGTCCCACCAGATCCCAACGGCTGGCTGGCACCTCCGAGCCCATCTCTGACCCAGCCCAGATAATCAAAGCTAAAAAGACCCATGTATTACATGACTGTGTTACAGAAGGGAACAGCAAAGCCCAGATGGGGAGGGATTCATTTGCTGGTTAGTGGCAGGGTCTGGATCAGGACCAAGGGTCCGAGGACATAGCCACCTTCTAACGAGAACAACATTTCTCCCTGTCCCCTGTGCTGTAGGCAAGATGTGGCTATTTTCTCTTGTGTTGCTGTCCCCCTGCCTGAGATGCCACTTCCTTCTCCTCACAGTTCAGCCCAAAGCCCTCCTCCCCCAGCAAGCCCTCTGCAACATCTCCCTCGTCTGATTTCCCAGCTCTCCCCATCTGTGCCATGCAATTCAGCCCTAATTACATTCACTGTTCACCCATGAGGATGCCTGCACACTGAGAAAAGTGGTGCTCAGAGAGGCAGGGCCTTGCCCATAGGCGCACAGCAGGGCTGGGCCCAGACTAAGGCCTGCTGACTCTCAGGCCACTGCTCCACAGGCCCAGGGTCCTGGGACACGCCTGGTGTTTGTCAGGCCCAGGTCCCTCGATCGGCAGACCCCACCCTTCCGACAGCTTCTGCTGGCTGGGCCCGAGGGGCTGCCGGTCTCCTGAGTGATGCCTCCAGCTCCCCAACCTTGAGCTGATCTTTTCTGGATTAAGCCACACGTCTGGATTAAGGCTCAGGGTGTCCTGGCTCCTTCTGTCCCAGAGGCTTTGGCTCTGGCTCCAGACAAAGGAACTTTGGTAACAGCTGGTAGAAGTCAAGGCTCAGAGACAAGGCCAGACCCTGGGGCAGTGGCCAGGGGGATTAGCCCCTTCTGGCCTCTTCTCTCAGCACCTCCTACTCCCCAGGAAGACAGAGCAAGGAGGGAAGGCAGAGGGACCCAGAGTCACAGATTTATAGCAGCTGTTCCCTGCCACTGCCTGGGCCTCTCTCACCCCTGGGGACAGCAATGTGTCCCTGCAACTCCCCTGCCTCCAGGGTGCTCACTCCCACTCCCACCTGGTGTCCGAAAAAGATCCCCGATAGCTCCCAAAACTACAGCCTCAGAGCCCTGGGCCGGCATGGGGTTGGAGCCGATCTCCCACATTCTGCTCAGCCCAGGCTCCCAGATCTTTACCCCAGGGGACTGTAGGTGGGGTTAATGTGCCCAAGGCCCCACTTCAACCCTGAGACCCAACCTCAGTCTGCCCAGAGCCCAGGCCCCTGGCTGCAGACCCCAGCGAGAAGAGCCCTGAGGGACTTGGGTGTGGCAGAGGGTCACGGAGCCACCACTCAGCCCTGCACCCACCTCACGTCAGCTGGAGCAGACCTCTCAGGCCTTCCCACGGGGGCCCCTCCCTCTCTGCACCCAAAACGCCCCCTCTAATGGTCAGAGTCCAGGGGCCTGGCTGGGAGCCATGCGGAGTGAGCAGGGGCCACAGGGGCCCGGCCCCCAGCCTGCTGGTCAGCACCCTGGAGAGAAGCCGAGCCTGGCCGGGTCATGGAAGCCTGGGGCCAGTGCCGGTGACCAATGGAACCTCCCTGCCTGGGCCCAGACTGCCTGTCCTGCAGGCACTCCCTGCCCACCTGCTGCCCTTCCCTGCCCCTTCACTTCTCCTGGGACAGCGCTGGCCCTTCCACGGAACCCCAGCTCCCTCGCCCTTTGAAACTGCTCCTCAAACTAGCTTGACTCAAGAAAACTGCCCAGCCTCCTCCTTACTGACCACCCTTCCTGACCCAGAGTGCTAGCCTTTCTCCAGTGTGCTTACCACCCTCTCACCCAGGAAGGGGCCCCTGAGGCCCCCTGACCCACCCCCGGCAGCTCTGGCCTCTCTCCAGTACCAGCTGTGGCTGTCCCGAAACACCTGAGCCACTGGGGGCCCCGTGGGCAAGAGACGGGAGGTGGGGTCCTGAGAGGGTTTGCCTGCCTTGGGCTCAGCTTGAGATTCAAGGAGGTAGGTTTCTTCTTGGCCCGGTGGCTATCCCCACCTCCTCAGATTCCAGAATCAGCCAGGCCACTGGCCCAACTTACTCAGGAGCCCTGTTCTCTGGAAGGGTCAACTTGAGGAGCCAGCCGGGGGTCCAAAGCTGGGGTGTGTGGGTGACTTGGGGGATGGGGTGAGGCCATGGAGGACCCACAGGGTAGGTAGGGAGTTGGGGGGCAGGGCTACGTAGCAGGAGGATGGGGCACAGGAAACAAAAGGGTCAGGGAAACATCAAGGATATCTGGTCTTGACCGCCATTTCCACACTTCCCGGGGGTAGCCAGGAGCCCTCAGGCACTGCGACCAGCTCTGCATCCCGTTCACTCCTGCTGCCCCATTGGCATCACTTCCAGCCCCCCTGGGTCAAGGTGAGGGCCAGCTAAATAAACCTTCATCGGGTTCTGCCAGCTCCCCCCAGCATTGTTCCCACCGGACGGACAAGGGGCCGGGGCTGCTGTGGGCTGCCTGGCCGTGAGGACTGAGCAGGGACTGGAACTCACGGCTGAGCTGCACCCTGTTTGGGTGGCTGTGTCTCCTCCCTGCACCCGGCCTCTGGAGTTGGCATCCAGAGCCTGTGGAAGGCTTGGCTTACCCTTCTGAGCAAGGACGGCCACCCCGCCAGCTGTGCCTCCCCTCCAATGTGGCCCATCAGGCCCCGTCCCCAGCCCAGATGAGCCCTGGCCGGGGCCCAGTGAGGCGCAGGTCCGGCCAGAACCCCAGGGCCCTGTCACGGCAAGTACAAAGCCTGCCCGACTTCCAGTTTCCAGAAACTGCAGATCACTTTTTCATTCAGCTCTGGCTGAGCATACACTGTGTGAATGTATTTCGTGTTTCAGCGCTTGGTCAAGTTCCTTTGCCTCACCTGGACTGTGGCCCCCGGCCATCTGCCTATCCCACCTTTGATCGCCGCACGGTGGCTGGCGGGGCGGCCCTGCTCTCTCCAGTGCAGTCTCCACAAACACCCTTCTGCGGCCCCTTCTCTTCCCTCCTCCTCCAGCACCTCATCTGTGCTTCTGACACCTGTTGCCCGACAGGGCTTTGAAGTTTCATGGGCATCTGCTTCCCCAAGCTCCTGCCGTGCCGGCAGCCAGGCCCTGCTGCGTGAGAACTCGGGGCTTCACCTGCTTCTGTGTGTGGGCCCTTAATGGATCCTCTGGGCCCCAGGCCGTGAAATGGGGACTCGTAAAGACAGTGTGCCTCTGGGGTTTGGCAGGACAAGGTGAACGGTGATGTGAGCAGACATGTCAGCCTCCCAGGAGACTTCCCTCGCCTCTGTTCTCAAGGTCTCCGCAGCCTCCCCCAGGCCAGCGGGGCGCTGGACAGGGAGGGCGCTCTGCGAACTGCAGGTGAGTGTGTGCCACTCTGGCTGGGCTGCGGGAACGCACCCTGAGCCCCAGTCCGAGGGCCTGGGAGCGCAGCTTGGGGTTTAGAAAGGGGGTTTTAGCACAAAGCGAAGGTGCACCAACATTGAGAAAATGATAAAAAGTCCAGAAGAACTGTCTTGAGAGACTAAGAACAGAAATTGCTTCCAGAAAAGGTTTACATAGGTGGGAGTGGATTATCAAGGGTTTGTTGGGACCCTGGGCAGCTACCCTCAGACCTCTATCCTCTGTCTGGGGGCTGGAGGGAGAAGGAAGGGCTCCTCCGTTCTGGGGTGCCCCTTCTGTGGTCCTGGGTGGTCTCTGGTCCTTCTGCCACCAGCAGGGTCACACTAGGCTCCAGATGGGAGGAGCGGTTGGAGGGAAAAGGACACTCATTCTCCCCTCGCCCCGAGGCCCCACTCCACCACTGAGAGGGGAGAGGAGAATCTGGCAGGGGCACCTCCCAGGCGGGGAACATGCAAACCAGGCAGGGGAAGGAGCCAGGCATTAAATGTCAGGAAGAGCCCAGGGCAACTCAGCTTGTGCAAAGTTTGCTTTGGGAAGAGTTGTTCCACCTGACAGACCACTTGCTTGGCCGGGGGTGCAGGGTGGGGCATGGGATGGGATGGGGTGGGAGGAGGCCCCAGACCAGGTTTGAGCCCTGACTCCTTAGTTCTGGGACTCGGGCAAGCGGCTCAGCTTCCTTTGAGACTCAGTTGTCCGGTCTGTTAAATGCGCATCAAGACCATAGCTTAAATGGTTGTAAAGACTGAGAGAAAAGGAGTGTGAAGATTCCTTGAGAATTTGATGGTCTGAGTGGCACGAAGATGGCACCCGGGAGCAGGTGAGAGGTGGGGCTGGAGAAGGAGGAAAGGAAAGGGAATGGAGTGCAGAACAAGGAAAACAAAGGGAAAACCAGATGGTAACGTGGGTGGAGGGGCAGGGCGTAAGGGTGGAGTTGGAGGGGGAGTTGGGGATGGCAGTGAGGAAAGCCTGAGCCTTGCCCTGAGGTCATCTTGCTCTCTGGCCCAGTCCCGGGCAGCTGTGGGCTTCAGGGAGGAACCAGAGCCAGAGCCAGAGCCTCCAGCCTCCCCTGACCTCAGCCTGGGAGACAAGCTGGGGGAGGCACACAAGTCTTGCAAAGCCGGCAGATCCAGCCAGCCTCCACCAACTCCTACACAGATTTCAAAACCCAGCTCCAGGTTGCTGCCTCCATGAAGCCTCCTTTAACAGACGAAGCCATCTGCCTAACTTTCTCACCGAAAGGCAAGTTCAGGGAGGAAAAGTGGCTTGTTCAGAGTCACACACCATGGGCCTTGACTCCTTGCCCTCCACCCAGAGGGTCTGTGTCCCGGGTCAGCCTGAACTGGCCTCCCAGGTCACACTCAAGCTGCACCAAGTCATTTAGCAAGGAACTGCGCTCTAATTGTTTCACAGCTATTTATTTTATATCTGCAATGACCTCAGTGGTAAAAAGTGGGTTCTCCTAGATTCTTCTACTTGCTGCCTGGGTCACAATTTCTGAGCATTGATTGAGCACCTACTGCATGCCGCCTATTCCCTCAGGCTTGGTTGACAGAACAGCTCTATCTACTTCAGAGGGTCCTTGTGAAAACCAGCAGCATCATGACTGCTGAAGTGTGTTCTAATTGGGAACACAATAAGCATGTCAGCTGTGGGTCCCCATCTGCCTGGAGCAAAGGAATCACTTGTCCAATTACTTTCAAGCTCTCAAAAGGGAGGGTGGTCCCCTATCCAGTGAGACACCACCTCCTCCACACCCCAACCTTCCTGGGAGCCCTGAGGATGTACCCTCTCCCCAAATTTTTATGTATTCAGTGTGGCGAGACTCCACATTGGGAGTCCCTGGCTCTGGTCCCGCCCCCAGGTGGTCAGGGGACAGGGAGACTGTCCCTGCTGGGCTTGGCCATCATCTGGGCCCACCTGTCTGGTGGGGCATCTCCTGCCCATCCCCACCTGCTGCCTCAGAGCTGGGCAGCTCAGCGCCTGTTTGCTTTGTTACTCAGCTGAGCAGCTGGTGCTGGGGAGATGCTGCTTTATTGGGGTGCTGTGAAGCTGTTTATTGGGGAGGTGGGGGCAGGAAATGAGGTCAAGTGCCAGCCCTGGACAAGGAGGAAGAGAAAGACCATGACCTCCATAGAGGGGACAGGCCCTTGAGGCTTATGGCCTGGGTGTGGACTGCTGGGTGGGCCCAGCTGGCAGTGTGAGCTGAGGGAATCCAGGGCTAGTTTGGTGGGCCCGCCCACTCCCTAACAGGCACAGGTGGACACACGGACACACACATGTGCACACAGACACACAAATATACATACACACATGCATGCATGCGCAGTCACACATATATGCATGCACATGCATGCACCTTGTCAGGCCTCAGCGGAGCCCCCGCCATCCAGACCCCTCAGCTTTCCACCCTGCCATCCCCATCATCTACTCCCCTCTCCCCAGAGGGCAGCCAGCAAATCTTAGAAATGAGCCCCTTCAAGGACTCTTGCTTCTTCCTGATGTGCCCGGACTGGGGCCCACAGGCCCTCTGCTCCCTTGGGAACCCACGCAGCCAGCTGTTTGCTCCCCAGCTCCCCAGCCACCTGGTTCCTGGGCCCACCACCGCCCTGATGGGCCCCTGGGCTCTAGACCTATCCCCACAGCTCCAGCCTGGACCCTGTCCCCAAGCCTCCCTCCAGCCTCAGCAAGCCCCTGCCCACTTGTGGCCTGGCCCCGGAGAGACCCTGCTCTTGGCCAAGCAGCCTCGGCCAGCGGCAGCAGAAAGGCTGCTGTGTTTTGCTACCCGAGTTGAAAGGCCAGATCTCAGGGCCACGTCTCTGCCTGTACAGAGCCGTCACCCTTAGGTGGGCAGGTGGGCTCCATGGCAAGCCCAGATGGGAACATCACAGACACAGGGTGCCCGGGCCAAGGGACTCACCCAGGCTCTGGGGTCGGCACAGAGAGGGAGACTGGGCAGCATGCGGAGACACGGGGGCTTCTGAGGGTGCAGGACCAAGATTGCAAGGTCACTGGTGCCTGGAAGATCTGTTCTGAGCTTGCAAAGTGTACCTCCAAGTCCTCCCAGTCACCTACCTCCCCACAGCTGGCAGGGTACTCAGTACCTCCCCACTGGGCTTACCTGTTAGCTGCCTAGTGCCCAAGTTGTTGCCTGCTGCAGAGGCAACCTTGGGGGCCAGGAGGTGGCAGGGACAGCTTGGGCCACTGCTGGGTCTCAGCCAGGCATCTGGGGGGCCAGTGGGACCATGGACCAGCAAGGCTGGGGACAGAGGCGACACTCGGGTGGTCTCTGAGGTTGCAGGGCTGCCAACCCTGTAGGGAGCCCCCAGACCCCAGCCCAGGGCCACCTGCTGTCACCGTGGCAAGACCCAGCCAGAGGGGCTTACAGTGGGGCCACAGTGGGCTCTGGGCACTGGGTCTGGGTCTTCGGGGCAGTGTGGACGCAGGTGGAGTACAGGAATGTGCTGGGAGGAAGTCAGGCAGGGATGAAGAGTTGGCTGGGCCTGATTTCCCATTATAAGTAATCCTTCCTTATTTACCTGAACAAATACGCTCCCTGCTTACCTCAGACCACAGGCGGGCTCTTGGTTAACCCTTGAGGGCCTTTCACTCCTCACTGGGGAACCTATACCCTGGCAGCCAGGGAACTCAGTCACTCATTCATTCCTTCACTCTCTCACTTCCTTTCGTTATTTGGTGCATGGCTACTGAGCTTATGTTATGTGTGAGGCACAAGGTATGTATCAAGAAGGAACTGGGTTGGGCACTAAAAGGAATCAGTCAAGGGTAGGGGACAGACAAGCAAGCAGCAGTGGAAATTCAGAGCCCCAGTGGAAGGCTGTGGGAGCCCTGAGGCAAGAGAAATCAGGTTGGGCTTCCTGGAGGAAGTGCTATTTGGCTCCCCAGTCCAGGGTTGGAGGGAATTTCAGAGAACCCTGAGTAAAGAGATCTGAGGCTCATGGGCCCACCTACCCTGTGTGGGAACTCTGGTCCTTGTGCCCCATGGTCACATGCCCGGCACCCAGGGTGCTCAGGAAGGACTGACTGGTAGCTCGTTTTTCCAGGCCCAGCTTGGGGTCAACCAGCAACAACTTGCTCTCCCACAGTCCCAGAAGGATGCAGGATGGGAGGGGAGATTATGTACACACACACGTGGGGGTCCCAGGCCCTCTGCCTCTGTGAGTCCAAGGAGGACCACGCAGTCAAGCTCTCAGCTGCCTCCTCATCTCGCCAAGTGGGTTAAGGAATGTCTTCGGAGAGCAGGTGTGGGCTCCCCTTTCTCTGGAGCACCTTGGAAGCCACTGACTACCTCCATTCTGTCACACGAGAGCATTTTAGATACTGTTCATTGTTATTTTCTAATTTCAGAAGAAATCGTGTGACTGCCAAGAGCGTGAATACTCTAGGGCTTCAGCAAGATTCCAAGGCCTTCAGAACTAGCCACCTCCACCCCCACCCTGCCGCTTAACTGATGCCATGATTCTCTGACACGTGGTCGCACTTTTCACCCTGGAGAAGCCTGTGCTTGGCTGTTATTATCACTAGCACCTTAGTGAGGATGAGGTATCAGAGTTGTTCCCCAGAAGGCTGGGTAGGATGGGATGGAGGAGGTAATACAAAGGCCTAAAAGGGCTACAGTCAGCCACCCTAGCTCTCCAGGGTCAATGAAAAGGCAGAACTTCCTCCAGGATGTTTTTCTATGCTCTGCACCCTTGGCAGGGGCAGGGGGTGGAGGTGGGATGCAGTCCGCCGCCCCACTCTCACAGAAGCTTGTGCTTATATCAGCGCTCTGATGCAGTCAGTAAAAGTGATGGCCACCTCTCAGCATGCACCTTCTGTATGCCAGGTGCTTTTTGTGCTCATGAGGTGCTGCGATATTAATCATATTATAAATACTATAACATGGGTAAGGATTGCAATACCCAATAAATATTTATTGCATAGATCATGTGTCAGAGATCGTTACCTCCAATGCCCATCATCCCCTTTCTTCTGTCACAAGCCCCTAATTTTTAGCTGGGAACTTGGCTACCTGCAATTAATACTATCCCAGTCTTTCTTGCAGCTAGATGTGATCAAGTAAAAGTGTCATGTGCCAATTTCTAGGAATCTTTCTTAAAGGTAAACTGGTATGTACCATTTTACCCTTTTTCTTTACTCTTCCTTCATCTTGCTACCTGGAATGCAGCTGTGATGGCTGGAATTCTGGCTGCTATGTTGGACCATGAGGACAAGCTGGTGGAGCAGTGAGTTTGAAGGAGGCTAGGTCTCTGACGACTGCATAAAACCTTCATACGAGCTTTGGACTGCCTTGTCAGGACTTTTGACAGTGACAGACCTTTTGATTTTGTTTAGTGGGATCTTTTATTCAAAGCCAAGCCTGATCCTAGTTGAGACAGCCCAAAAGATGGACAGATAGATGAAGATAGAACACTCCTGCAGCCAGAGAGAATATCTTACTTCTGGTGGCAATGAGAAAGGGTCTGTTCATACCATGGACAACTTTGACCTTGGGAAATCTTCCTTTTGAATGCTGGGTACAGCTGGATTCTGGGCCCAAGGGGACATATTATAGGTGTTTCCAGGGAAGGGTGGGCCTGACAAGGCTAAGGTGTGCTGAGTGTGGACAGTGATTCTACCTGACCAAGTCTGGAACAGGGGGAAAAAAGAGTGTTTCTGGTCCTAGCTGGTGTGGTTCAGTGAATCGAGTGCTGGCCTACAAAGCAAAGTGTTGCTGGTTCGATTCCCAGTGGGCCAAGTCCCCAGTAGGAGGCATGCAAGAGGCAACCACACATTGATGTTTCTTCCCCTCTCTTTCTCCCTCCTTTCCCCTCTGTCTAAATATAAATAAATAGAATCTCTCTCTCTCTCTTTTTTAAAGAGTTTATTTATTTATTTTTAGAGAGGGAAGGGAGGGAGAAAGAGAGAGACAGAGAAACATCAATGTGCGGTTGCTGGGGGTCGTGGCCTGCAACCCAGGCATGTACCCTGACTGGGAATCGAACCTGCAACACTTTGGTTCGCAGCCCGTGCTCAATCCACTGAGCTACACCAGCCAGGGCTTCTCTTTTTTTTTAAAGAGCGTTTCTGCAACCTAGAAATGTACAAGAGAGAGCAAGGAGAGGACTTGCCATTCGCTCGGCTGAGACTCAGGTGGACCAAGGCGCTGAGAGGCTGCTCGGGGTGGATGTCGGTGGTGGGCTTGAGGCAGGTCTGCTGTCTGTCTGGGGCAACTCTGGAGAACTCCAGTGGGAGGGACAACCAAACAGGGTGCATCTTAATCCACAGGGGGACCCTGGTGACGTATACCCTCTCAACACCTTGATCCATCTAGCACGGAGTCGTGGCACTAGCTCAGAATTTGACCCAAATATGTCTTGGTTCTGTCACCTTCCAGCTCCATCCATGACTTGGGCCAAGTACATGAAACGTGCAGAGAACTCTCATCTGCCCGCCTCCAGAGAACTCTCGGGGCCACTGGGAGGGGTGAGTGGGTGTTGGTGAAAGTGCTCTGTGCACCAGCAGCCTGGACCAGCGCCTTGCTGACCGCCACCCACTGCCCTGTGTTGGACTTGTGTCATCTTAACCCCCACAGCAACCCCTCCAGGTAGGTGCTATTACGCCCATTTTGCAGGTGAAGACACTGAGGCCCAGACATTTAAAATGTGCTGCCCAAGGGCGATAGCTGGGAAGTAGATTCAAATTCAAGTCTGTAGTTTCCTCGATCATGTATTACTAGTAACCTCGTCCCCTCAGGGTCACGTCCCAGGTCCCTGGCATGGTCACTGGGTCCACCAGACCTCCTGCCTTCTGCCCACAGCTCCCGAAGGCTGATCTCCCTCCACCCTCTTCTGGCCAATGTCCATAGGGTGAAATGTGTCCCCAGTCAGACCCCACACCCATCTGCTGTGGGCGACGGCTGCCCCCTGTCTCCACTCTCCAGGCCTGGGGTCTGGCATACCACCCATGTTGGCCCAACCTGACTCCATCCTGGAACTTTCTTCCACCTACTAATGTATTCGCTCCTGCCACTGGGGTTTCTGAGCCTTAAAAATGTGAGTTGGTAGCTGCACCCCCGGGGGTGGGGTGGAGGGGGGAGTTTGCTGCGAAAGGCCAGAAAAGGGCCTTCCTGCTGCGCAGTGTGAACACCTGGGTGAGCCAGTCACTTCCTCTTTCTGCTGTTCAGGTGGATTTAAACTGAGACTCTTGTGCTGGCGTCGGAAAGAATCCGCACCCTCAGGCCATCTCTAGAGCCCTCTCCTGCAGAAAGCTTCCCCGCGGGCCCCAGCTCTCGCACACCTCCCATGTCCCCACTCTGTGTGCTCTGGTTTCCCCAGCCTTTCTTTTCTTCCCGAGATTCTAAGTCCTTGAGGGCAAAGATCCGGGAGCAGCTGGCAGCATCTGACTCGAAGCACAGATTTTGACTCTGGAGCAGCTGGCCTGCATCCCTCCCCACCTGGATCCTCAGCCACTGGCCCCTCAGAGAGGCGGGGTGTGGGGCGCAGGGCACAGGCTCCGGTGCCACCGGTTAGTAGCAGTGTCACCAGCGTCACCGCCAGCCAGTCTCAGGCCCCTCCTGGGCCTTCCTCACCTCCTGTGAAATGGAAATACTTGCCCTGCTGACCTTGTGGGCCTTGTGATGAGTGAACGTCAATTGACAAAGGAAGTGGACAGACTTTGGGAAGGGCAGACTGCCTTTTCCACGGTCCTAACCTTTTTCTGCCCCCAACTCCCACCCATTAGGAGCTACACTCTGGGAGAGACGCAGGGGCAAAGCTGGGGCCCACAGGCATCCAAGGCCCAGAGGAACAGGCTACCCTGTCCCAGGCTCCAGTTTGGAGAAGGTGGGAACAGCTGGGGGGAGGGCCCCCTGCTGAGGTGTGAGGAGCCCGGGGCTGGTCACCAGGTGGGCCTGTGTGGCAGGATGGGCAGCCATCCTGGTTGGGAGGTCCAGAGCCCACCGGCCCTCATGGGGCAGAGGAAGACCCTGAGACCAGAGAGGCTAGGGAGCGGGACCAGGGCCATACAACAGGGCTGGGATCCAAATCCAGACCCCAGCCAGGGCTAGTGTGCTCACGTAGCCCTAATAAACCCAGCCCCGGAGGGTCTGTTGGTCTTCTCATGCACGGGTGCGGAACAGACTCCTTAAACTTCCCCAAAGTCAAGGCTAAACGGTGGCAGAGGCAGGATCCAGGCTGGGTCTGTGGGAGCCCTTTTTCAGGACACCACGCAGCAGCTGGACAGCGTGGGCAAAGGGACCAGAAGTAGCCGCTGGGGTGGTGGCCAAGTCCTCAGGGGCCACACAACCAGGCATTTCCATAAACTGGAAGTGCCCTTGGGCACCTGTGGGCCATGCCCAGTTGCTCCGCTCAGGCCAGCACGCACCGACTGAGCACCTAACCCGTTCCAGGCCTTCTGCCAACGCTGGGGGCAGGTGGCCGGGCACACTCCATCTTAGACCAGTCCAGGGCTGGGCAGCCCTC